GCAGAAAAAGTTGGAAGTGGTGCTGTGATTCAAACAGTAGAGCCCTAGCCTTGAGCTGAGGGACAGTTTCTGGGCCCAGAGTTCAGGCCCCACGACCAACAAAAGACAAAAAAAAAAAAAAAAAGTATGTAAGAAAAGAGAGAAAAACCATTTCACTAGGCTTAGGGCCTGATATTACAGAATCAAATAGTAAGTCAGCTCCTTGCTGACTTAAAAAGTGAGTTGAGCTGGGCGCTGGTGGCTCACGCCTGTAATCCTAGCTACTCAGGAGGCTGAGATCTGAGGATCGCAGTTCAAAGCCAGCCCGGGCAGGAGAGACCTTGAGACTCCTATCTCTAATAAACCACCAGAAAACCGGAAGTGGCACTGTAGCTCAAGTGGTAGAGTGCTAGCCTTGAGCTGAAGAGCTGAGGGACAGCGCCCAGGCCCAGAGTTCAAGCCCCACGACCGACAAAAAAAAAAAAAAAGTGAGTTGATAAACCTGTTTTATGGCCAAAAGTGGGTATGGAAGGTTGTCTGGTGAGTAATGGTGCAGTCCCTTATGCAGATGGAGGGCTATGTTTATACCAGTCACAGGCCTTCTATTGAGCCACAGGCAAGTATGTTCCCTCTGGCCTGGGTAGAAATGGAGTACACCAAAATTGTCATGGCTGAGACAGTGGTTTCTGGATCTAGAGTTGCAATATAGTTTCTCTCCCCAAGCATCTGTGAAATGTTGAAAACAGTCAGGATTCCAGCTTGCTGGTTGCCTGATAATCTAAACTAAGCTTCACTCCAGAAATAAGCATTAAAAGAAATAGTTAAACAGTAACATCAACAGTGATTTGACAATATTTAACAATACTAAACTCCTGCCTCCAGATTTCCAACCATGCCATGTTCTAGGGAAAGGTGCCTCAAAATCAAATTCCAGTTTTCTCCAACTTAATATGTAACTTTAAACAACTAACATAACTTTTCCTCATCTACAAATGGAAGTAATATCAACCATAGGATTTTTGTGGGGATTAAATGGTATGTTTTCAAATCACTGACCTCACTTACCTGCCATATTATGGATGTTGTTCTTTTTTTTTTTTTTGGTTGGTTGGTTGATTGTGGGGCCTGAACTCTGGGCCTGGGTGCTGTCCCTCAGCTCTTCAGCCCAAAGCTAGCACTCTACCACTTGAGACAAAGCAACGCCACTTCCAGCTTTTTCTGCTTATGTGGTGCTGAGGAATTGAACCCAGGGCCTCATGCATACAAGGCAAGCACTCTACCACTGAGCCACCTTCCCAGCCCTGGATGTTGTTCTTAAAGGGCAGTTAGAAAACCAAAGTTTTTGTTGTGGTAGTTGTTTTCGGTACCAGTCCTGGAGCTTGAATTCAGGGCCTGGCTCTGTCCCTGAGCTTTTATATACTATCACTTGAGTCACACCTCCATTTCTGGCCTGTTTTGGTGGTTAATTGGACATAAGAGTCTTACAGACTTCCTGCCTGGGAGATCCTTACATCTCAGCTTCCTGAGTAGCTACAATTATAGGTGTGTGCCACCAGCATCTGGCTGCAAATGGAGGTTTTACATACTTTGCCTTTTGTATCATGACTTTTCACTATTCTTACAAATAGTTGTATTGATAACCTTTTTCTGGGAACCTTAGAGCAACTATCAGGACGTAATGGTGAGCTCATCTATAAATTCAAAGCCCAGCTCTGGGTTCCAGGAAGAAAGCTTATATAGAAACACTCCACTAAGCCACATTCCAGTCCTATGTGAGATTCTTTTTTTTTTTTTTTTTTGATTGGTCATGAGGCTTGAATCAGAGCCCGGGTGCTGTCCCTGAGCTTTTCTGCTTAGGGATAGTACTCTGCCACTTTGAGCCACAGCAGTACTTCTGATTTTCTAGTGGTAAATTGGAGATAAGAATCTCACAGAGACACCAGGCGCTGGTGGCCCACCCCTGTACTCCTAACTACAGGAGGCTGAGATCTGGGGATCACGATTCAAAGCCAGCCTGGGCAGGAAAGTCAGGGAGACTGTTAACCACCAGAAAACCTGAAGTGGTGCTGTGGTAGAGCACTTACCTTAAGCTGAAGAGTGCAGGGACAGCTTCCAGGCCGAGAGTTCAAGCCACGACCAAAAACAAAAAAAAAGAATCTCACAAAGGACTGGAATGTGGCTTAGTGGTAGAGTGCTTGCCTTGCATGAAGCCCTGGGTTCAATTCCTCAGTACTATATATACAGAAAAGGCCAGAAGTGGTGCTTTGGCTCAAGTGATAGAGTGCTAGTATTGAGCAAAAGAAGCTCAGGGACAGTGCCAAGGCCCTGAGTTCAAGCCCCAGGACTAGCCAAGAAAAATATCACAGATTTTCCTGCCTGGGCTGGCTTTTAAACCACAGTCCTCAGATGTCAGCCTCTTGAGTACTAGGATTATAAGCATGAGCCATCAGGGCTCAGCTGAGATTGCCTATTATTAAGAGAGCTTATGGCTATGATCTTGTTCTTTTCTTAATTTTTTTTGGGGGGGTCTGGTCATGGGGCCTGAACTCTGGGCCTGAGCACTGTCCCTCAGCTCTTCAGCTCAAGGCTAGTGCTCTACCACTTGAGCCACAGTGCCACTTCTGGCTTTTTTCTTTTTGCTTATGTGGTGCTGAGGAATTGAACCCAGGGCCTCAGGCATGCAAGGCAAGCGCTCTACCACTGAGCCACCTTCCCAGCCTGATCTTGTTCTTTTCTGTGTATAATGGACTATGAGAATATAATAATTTGTCGATACTCAGAAAAATTGTAGTGTTGAACCATATTTCCAGACCCTCATAAGAAATATTTAGAAATGGTATATAAATGACAGGAACAAAACAATGGGATGTAAAACATAATTTAAACTAGAAGATTTTATTTTGTAAAGAAGTACCAAAGTCGCCGGGCGCTGGTGGCTCACGCCTGTAATCCTAGCTACTCAGGAGGCTGAGATCTGAGGATCACGGTTCAAAAAGCCAGCCCGGGCAGGAGAGACCTTGAGACTCCTATCTCCAATAAACCACCAGAAAACCGGAAGTGGCGCTGTAGCTCAAGTGGTAGAGCACTTGCCTTGAGCTGAAGAGCTGAGGGACAGCGCCCAGGCCCAGAGTTCAAGCCCCACGACCAACCAAAAAAAAAAGAAGTACCAAAGTTTTCCAAGGTAGTGGAGCAAATCTTAATGTGGATTGACTTTGATTTTCATGCAGTTTTTCTTTTAATTTTGTTTTTTGGTGCCAGTAGTAGGGCTTCAACTAAGGGCCTGGCCACTGTCTCCCCTTTTTTGCTGAAGGCTGTGCTCTTAACACTTGAGTCAAAGCTCCACTTCTGGCTTTTTAGTAGTTAATTGGCAATAGAGTCTCATGGACTTCCCTACCTGGACTGGCTTCTAGTTACAATCTCAACCTCCTGAGTAAGTAGGGTTACAGACATGAGTCACCAGGACCCAGGTTTTTTGTTGTCTTTTTTAGTTTTGTGTTTTGGTCTTGTTTTTGTTTTTCTTTTTGGCCCGGGGGGGGGGGTGGGTAGTATTTAATTGGAGATAAGAGTCTCAGATTTTCCTGCCCAAGCTGGCTGATCTTCAAAATTTCTCCCTTCTGAGTAGTTAGGATTACAGATGTGAACCACTGACACCAGTTAATGCATTAGTCTTTATGGTTTTTATGTAGTGAAACTGCAAAAAACAAGCATACCTATATATTTTATATCTTATATCTTGAAAACTATCAACAATTTTAGTCATAATTTTTTTAACTACCTAAGAATTAAACAATTTATAGCATTTCCCTCAGATTCAGTGGTCAAGAAGTACTTGAAGGACTTAAAGCCAAAACTATAGTTTTAACAGCTGTTCTGTAGTAATATTTGGCATTTATATGTATCTTTTTTTTTTTTTTTCGGTTGGTCATGGGGCTTGAACTCTGGGCCTGGGTACTATTCCTCAGCTCTTCAGCTCAAGGCAAGTGCTCTACCACTTGAGCCACAGCACCACTTCCCTGTAGTAATACTAATATTAACCTGTGATCACAAAAAGATCATTGAATTGTGTCCTTGCCAAGTACCAGAAGCTACTCAGAAAATCTGAGAATAGTGGTTCAAAGGCAGCCAGTGCAGACAACTTTATAAGAGTCTTATTTCCAATTAACCAGCAAAAATATAGATGCATGGCTCAAGTGGTAGAGCACCAGCAGTGAGCAAAAAAGCCAGGTTGAGAATGCCAGACCCTGAGTTAAAGCCTCAGAATTAGCACAGGGAAGGAGGAAGGGGGGGGGGGACAAAAGAAAAATGTATTCTTGCCTGGCTCCATTTATTATAAAGGTATAGAGGGATTACAGTTACATAAGTCATGTAATAGCTTTTTTTTTTTTTTTTGCCAGTCCTGGCGCTTGAGCTCAGGGCCTGGGCACTGTCCCTGAGCTTCTTTTGCTCAAGGCTAGCACTCTACCAGTTAAGCCACAGCACCAGTTCCCGCTTTTTCTGTTTATGTGGAATCAAATCCAGGGCTTCATACATGCAAGGCAAGCATTCTACCACTGAGCCACCTTCCCAGCCAGGCTTTTAAAAAAAAAACAAAAACAAAGAATCAAAGGTATCTAGTATGACAAGGAGCAGTCAGGCACCGGTGGCTCACACCTGATGACCCTAGCTACTCAGGAGGCTGAGATATGACAATCTCAGTTCAAAGTCAGCAGGGCCGGAAACTCTGTGAGATTCTTAACCTCAAATGAACCAGAAGTGGCACTGTGGCAGAGTGCTAGCCTTGAGCCAAAAGAGCTCAAGGACAATGCCCAGGCCCTGAGTTCAAGCCCCACAACTGACATAAACAAAAAGAGCAATAATTCAAAATTATAATGGCATATCAGTCTTTCAAATAGCAAATAAAACATAGCTCTGCTGCTCATTTTTGTCACGTGTAAAGTAAGAGATAGTATCCATGACTCTGTTTTCCTCACCAAATGATAATAATATTGAACTATATTAATATGTTCAACATTTTGTTTCAGAATTTGGACTTTATAGAGACTGACAGTTCCTGTTCCTCTGAAGCACTTTCAAAGAAAGACCTTTCTGCTGAAGAATTATATCAGCGGCTTGAGAAACTCATCATTGAGGACAAAGCAAATGATGAGCAGATCTTTGACTGGGTAGAGGTACAGATGCTATGTCACCTTCTTTGCTTTCATTGCATAAAGGATGCTTGTGAGGTCCTCTCAGTTCTCACGTCCTTTAACTTCATGAGAGTTTGAAACTTAAGGAAACTGGCTTTTTTGCTTACATATGCTCTGAAACTCAAGGCTGTTTCTGTTTTTATAAGATTTCAGTTTTCCTCAGACACATGGTTCATGCTGCAATCCTAGCAATGTCAACCTGAAAAGCTGAGATTGTGAGGATTGTGGCTCTAGGAGGCCAGGCATAGCAAAATTTGGGAAGCTACCATCTTAGCCAGTAAAATGCTGAGCACCGTGTGGTACATACCTGTCGTCCCAGCAAAAAGTATAATTAGGAAGATTGCTTGTCCAGACTAGCCCAAGCAGAAAGCAAGTGCAAGTGCAAAATAAAAAGGCTGAGGTGTGGTTCAGTTGGTAGAAATCCTGCCTACCAAGCACAAAGCCTGAGTTCAAACCACAATACTGACAAAAATAAATAAAATTTAGGGCTGGGAATATGGCTTAGTGCTAGAGTGCTTGCCTTGCATGCATGAAACCCTGGTTTGATTCCTCAGTAGCACATGAACAGAAAAAGCCAGAAGTGGTGCTGTGGCTCAAATGGTAAAGTGCTAGCCTTGAGCAAAAGAAACTCAGGGACAGTACCCAAGCCCTGAGTGCAAGACTCTTATATCCAAATCACCACCAAAATGCAAGAAGTTGAGCTGTGGGTCAAGTAATAAGAGGGCTAGCCTTGAGCTAATAAGCTCAGGGACAGGAGCTGGTCCTTGAGCTCAGGCCCCAGGACCAGCACCAAAAATAGACAAAAAGAAAGGTTTTCTAGGTGCTTTTTTTCTTGCCACCCTTAGGGGAAAAAAAATTTCTTATCACCTGAATAGTTTGTTTGAGGCTGTGCTTAAGATAGCCTCTGAGGGCTGGGAATGTGGTTTAGAGTGCTTGCCTAGCATGTATGAAGCTCTGGGTTCAATTCCTCAGTAACACATAAACAGAAAAGGTGGAAGTGGTGCTGTGGCTTAAGTGATAGAGTGCTAGCCTTGAGCAAAAGAAGCTCAGGGAAGGTGCCCAGGCCCTGAGTACAAGCCCCATGACTGGCCAAAAAAAAAAAGATAGCCTCTAATTGACAGTAAATTAAGATAAAAGATTTTGGCACGCTTATAAATACATACAGCCGGGCGCCGGTGGCTGCTACTCAGGAGGCTGAGATCTGAGGATTGGAGTTCAAAGCCAGCCTGGGCAGGAAAGACCCTGAGACTCCTATCTCCAATAAACCACCAGAAAACCGGAAGTGGCGCTGTAGCTCAAGTGGTAGAGCGCTAGCCTTGAGCTGAAGAGCTGAGGGACAGCGCCCAGGCCCAGAGTTCAAGCCCCACGACCAACAACAAAAAAAAAACATACATAAATACATGATACTGAGAAAGTAGTTCAATATATATTACAGTTGTGTATAGTTGCTCCTGTTTAGACTTGGATAAATCACCTTACATAGATAATTATTTATTAAGAAATATTGCTTAAAAGTAGTTATTCTCCTATCTGTCTAGTATACTATGCTGTGTAATCGAGTGAGCATGGAATAGCAGTACTAAGGTTCTTAAACTCCCAGTTCCCCTTCTTACCCTAGTACTAGCAATAGCCAGACTGTTTTTGAATGATCATTTAATTTTTGCCAAAATCCGCAAAAATGTAACTGCTCTTAGTGCCAGGTATGCCTGGATTGAAGGGCCTGGTTTCTCTGATGGGTACATTTACCTGTTCCTTCTTCCCTCCCTCCCCCCCCAACTTCAGGCTAATCTAGATGAAAGCCAGATGAGTTCCCCCACCTTCCTTAGAGCTTTAATGACAGCTGTTTGTAAAGCTGCTATTATTGGTAAGTGCATTTCTAAAAGCAGATTTTAACATCTGAAATCTTTATTATGTCAACTACTCTTATTATATGGTCTGTTTTATATTGTCTTCGAATCTTGCCCTAGATCAGCTGCTGGGCAAATGGGTGGCATTTCCATGTACACTTCCTGGCCGGCTCAAGCATAGGGACCAATAGTTGCTCTGCCTGCAAAGACCAATTTGAGCAATTTCTACAATATATTGTGTCCTTGAATTCAGTGGAGTTGTGTATTCCTTGGGCTTTTTATTACTATCTTACCTGTAGCTTTTTCCATTTTATATACATTGTTCAAGGTCATTTCCTGCATTCAGGAACTATCATGAATGAGTGCATTCAGTGGAGAACTATTCTTTCAGCTTTCTAAAAATCTTTTTGTTGTCGTTGCTAACTAGACATAAGAGTCTCATGTACTTTCCTGGCCGGCTGGCCTGAAACCACAATTCTCAGATCTTAGCCTCCTAAGTGTAGGTAGGATTATGGGCATGAGCTGCCAGTACCTTGGTTTAATAAACTATTTTAATGTTTACTCTTAAATACTCTGAATCCTTTATTTCTCTATGAAATTTTTGATTGAAAAATCTTAAATTGTATTCATTTATGGGATATGATGTTTTGATACATGTCAGCAATGTGGAAAGATTACATCAAAACATCTGCCATCTTTTTTATGGTGAGGATTCTGATTAACATTGCTCTTATAGGCTGATATGAAATTATCTCTAAAGGCAAATAATTGGGTGTACTATTTTTGAGGGAAGCCATCACTAAAAATGTTTTATTTTATTTTTGAAAGAATATCCCATTAAAATTTACAGAGCACTTGGATTTCAAAATCATTGCTAACCCCTTATCTCCTCTCCCCTTAACAGTTTCACAGGTCCTATGTACTTAGAAAACTACAAATGGTTCTCTTTGTTAATTCCTTAAATGTAATGTCTAGTTCTTCTATCACCTCTAGCCGACTGTTCTACCTTTAAAGTGGATACTGCTGTTATCAAGCAGAGAGTGCCGATCTTACTCAAGTACCTGGACTCAGATACAGAGAAGGAACTACAAGCACTTTATGCACTACAAGCATCAATAGTAAAACTTGATCAACCTGCCAGTAAGTTTACTTGGGAATGACACTTACCCAGGCCAAGACCTCAGCAAGTATGTGGGGTTTGAAGATGGATAATGGGAAAATCACTTGTAACAACAACTCAGATAATCAACAACTTTTTAAAGTTCTGAATCTTTTACATACTTGTATAAGGAAATGCTAATAAATAAACTAGTCTAGAGCCAAGTGCAAGTAGATCGCACCTGTAATCTTAAAGTATTCTGGAATCTGAGATCTGAGGATCATGGTTCGAAGCCAGTGCAGTCAGGAACGTCTATAAGATTCTTAGCTCCACTAAACTATCAGAAAAAGCCAAAAGTGGAACTTTGGATCAAATGGTAGCGCTCTATCCTTGAGCAAAAAGAAGCTCAGGGTCAGCATACAGGCCCTGAGTTCAAGCCCCAGGACCTATACACACACACAAACACACACACAAAAAAAAGAAAATGAGCCTAAAGATAGAATCCTTATTCCAAGGCAAGTATGTTCAAGCTTCTTATAATGATGGGAATGTATCTATACCATTTAATGTAGTAACCATGAGTCACATGTGGCAATCCTCCAGTATGGGCCTGTTGTGACCGAGGAACTGGTTTTTCTCATTTAATTTAAATTTATATAGCCCTAGGTGGCTGTGGTTACCATATTAGACAGTACAGGTCTAAGAGATGAGAATGGCTGTTGATCACCAAGGACCATAGTCTTCAGAATCCTCAAGCACCCAGCAAAGTCTTTAACAATGATCACGGTATAATTACCAAGGCATTTAAAAATAAGGTTTAATTAAGAATTACTCATTTTTGCTAACAAGACATATAAGGTTATCTGTACCACCTAAGTTATTAGGGAAACTGGTTGATGAATTTTATTGAATCTTGAAGATTCTGTTGATATCTGTGAAAGTGAATGGTGCGTGATTACTTTAGAGATAGCCCTGAGAGCACTTAACTTTTCAAACAAAATATCGTAAGTGTTTGGATGAAAATAGTGCTATGTACTTAACATGTTTCCCATAATTAACATCTTCAGGAATCTCTGGAGCTTTCACTGCTGTCAGAATTGTGGTCCCTGGCTGTTTGCACTTCCTCTAGATCAGCCTTGGTTTTAAGAATGAAAAGTAATTTATTTCAGTGTTAGCTTGACAAACATAATTAAAAAGATTATTCTAAGTATGTTTTTATGATTCACTCTAGATCTAGTATTTACTGGCATTTATTGTTTATTCCTCTGCTTCCCTTTACTGTTAGGAACAAACAGAGGGGTTAGAGGTATGACTCAATTGGTAGAGTGCAAGCCAGTGAGTGAAAGTGTCAAGTACAGAGTTTGAGTCCCAATCTCGGACAAAAAGAAAAGAAAAAAAAAATAACCAACAGAGTGCTGACTTATAAATGAATCTTATAGTCATTAAACCCATCATGAAGTTTTATTTTTCTTTTTGTAGTTCAGGACATGGAACTAGAACTTGTTAAAACTAGGCCAACCATCTATTACTGATATACATCCCCAGTCCCAAGGAATTTTTTTTTTTTCTTAAGAAAATACAACTATTAGTCGGGCACCGGTGGCTCACGCCTGTAATCCTAGCTACTCAGGAGGCTGAGATCTGAGAATCGCGGTTCAAAGCCAGCCAGGGCAGGAAAGACCGTGAGACTCTTATCTCCTAGCACATGAACAGAAAAAGCCAGAAGTGGTGCTGTGGCTCAAATGGTAAAGTGCTAGCCTTGAGCAAAAGAAACTCAGGGACAGTACCCAAGCCCTGAGTGCAAGACTCTTATATCCAAATCACCACCAAAATGCAAGAAGTTGAGCTGTGGGTCAAGTAATAAGAGGGCTAGCCTTGAGCTAATAAGCTCAGGGACAGGAGCTGGTCCTTGAGCTCAGGCCCCAGGACCAGCACCAAAAATAGACAAAAAGAAAGGTTTTCTAGGTGCTTTTTTTCTTGCCACCCTTAGGGGAAAAAAAATTTCTTATCACCTGAATAGTTTGTTTGAGGCTGTGCTTAAGATAGCCTCTGAGGGCTGGGAATGTGGTTTAGAGTGCTTGCCTAGCATGTATGAAGCTCTGGGTTCAATTCCTCAGTAACACATAAACAGAAAAGGTGGAAGTGGTGCTGTGGCTTAAGTGATAGAGTGCTAGCCTTGAGCAAAAGAAGCTCAGGGAAGGTGCCCAGGCCCTGAGTACAAGCCCCATGACTGGCCAAAAAAAAAAAGATAGCCTCTAATTGACAGTAAATTAAGATAAAAGATTTTGGCACGCTTATAAATACATACAGCCGGGCGCCGGTGGCTGCTACTCAGGAGGCTGAGATCTGAGGATTGGAGTTCAAAGCCAGCCTGGGCAGGAAAGACCCTGAGACTCCTATCTCCAGTAAACCACCAGAAAACCGGAAGTGGCGCTGTAGCTCAAGTGGTAGAATGCTAGCCTTGAGCTGCAGAGCTGAGGGACAGCGCCCAGGCCCAGAGTTCAAGCCCCATGACCGACAAAAAAAAAAAAAAGAAAATACAACTATTTTGGTCAGGAGTTGATGAGATCTGCTAGTCATGGTTCAAAACAGCCCAGGCAGAAAAGTCCATGAGACTTTTTTTGGTGGGGAGGGCGGGCTGGTTATGGTTAGTCTTGAGGTTTGAACTCGGAGCTTGGGAACTGTCCCTGCTGTTTCCTACTTAAGGATAGTGCTCTGCCACTTAGAGCCACAGCTCCACTTCTGGATTCTGATGGTTAATTGAAGACAAGAGTCTCACAGACTTTCCTACCCAGGCTGGTGTTGAACCATGATCCTTAGATCTCAGCCACCTGAGTAGCTAGGATAACAGGTGTGAACCACCAGCGCCCAGCCATGAGACTGTTTTCTCCAGTTAACTACCACAAAACTGGAAGTGGTGCTTTGCTGTGGCTCAAGTGGTATAGTGCCAGCCTTGAAAAAAAAAGCAAAGCAAGAAAACAAGGCCCTGCGTTCAAGCCTCAATACCAGCATATACACACACAGAAAGTGTAATGATCTCCATAGGAACTTTTCTCCTTTTTTGAGCAGTAAGTTTCCACTGTGAGAACACAACAGGCAAATTGTTTCTGATAGTTGAAACATTTAAAACCAAATAACATTATTTTCCAGATGGAATACCTTTTGCCCATGTTTTTCTCTTTTATTTATTTTTTGTCAGTTGTGGGGCTTGAACTCTGGGATTGGGTGCTGTCCCTCAGCTCTTCAGCTCAAGGCTAGTGCTCTACCACTTAAGCTACAATGCCACTTCTGGTTTTCTGGTGGTTTATTGGAGATAAAATTTTCCTACCTGGCTGGCTTTGAACCATGATCCTCAGATCTCACCCTCTTGAGTAGCTAGGATTACAGGCGTGAGCCACCCGCGCCCGGCTCTTGCCCATGTTTTACATATGAGGGGTTTTATTCTTTTTTTTTTTTTTTTTGGTTGTGGGGCTTGAACCCTGGGCCTGGGCGCTGTCTGTCCCTTAGCTCTTCAGCTCAAGGCAAGCACTCTACTACTTGAGCCACAGCACCACTTCTGGTTTTCTAGTGGTTTATTGGAGATCAGAGTCTCACAGACTTTCCTGTCTCAGCTGGCTTTGAATGATGGTGATCCTCAGATCTCAGCCTCCTGAGTAGCTAGGATTACAGGCGTGAGCCACCTGCGCCTTGCTTGGTGGCATTCTTTTTTTTTTTTTTTGTCAGTTGTGGGGCTTGAACTCTGGGCCTGGGCGCTGTTCCTCAGCTCTTCAGCTCAAGACGAGCGCACGACCACTTGAGCTACAGCACCACTTGCCGTTTTCTGGTGGTTTATTGGAGATAGGAGTCTCAGGGTCTTTCCTGCCCGAGCTGGCTTTGAACCACGATCCTCAGATCTCAGCCTTCTGAGGAGCTAGGATTACAGGCGTGACCTCGTGCTGGGAAGGTGGCTCAATGATAGAGTGCTTGCCTTGCATGCATGAGGTCCTGGGTTTGATTCCTCAGCACTGAAAAAGCCAGAAGTGGCACTGTGGCTCAAGTGGTAGAGTGCTAGCCTTGAGCTGAAGAGCTCAGGGACAGCACCCAGGCCCAGACAGAGTTCAGGCCCTATGACTGGCATAAAAACAAAAAAAACACAGCCTGCTATTCAGTACACTCTATATGGAGAAGGACCTATGTAACTTGTAGGCATGGGAGAGAAAAACTTGGGGAAAGGCAAGAAAGGGTTGACATTGTCCTGAAAAAGAAATGTACTCGATACCTGACTTACGAAATGGTAATCCCTCTGTATAACACCTTAATAATAACCATAATATTATGTTAATAAATAAATGAGAACAAACCCAGGGGAAAATTAATAAAATTTAAAAGTAAAAAATAATAAAATTTTATTTTAAAAACACAGTACTAGAAGAGTTATTCTTACTTAATTTCTAAAGTGTTTAGTTGAGAATTATATGAAACAGCTTTGCCAATAGAGAAGATAGTTCAAACTAAATAAAATAATGGGAATAGAGCTGGGAATGTGGCTTAGCGGTAGAGTGCTTGCCTAACATGCATGAAGCCCTGGGTTTGATTTTCTCAATATCACATAAACAGAAAAAGCTGGAAGTGGCATTGTGGCTCAAGTGGTAGAGCACTAACTTTGAGCAAAAGAAGATCCGGGACAGTTCCTCGGCCCTGAATTCAAGCCCCAGGACTGGCCAAAATAATTATTAATAAAAATAAAATAAAATATTGGGAATAAAAAAGTAATGTAGACTTAAATAGTCTTCATTTTAAATATATACGATGAATTATTGATACCCTTCTCTAGGGGAACAGTGTACACTTACTTCACTCTGCTTTTCCTCGCAGTCATTCCCTTAAACCCATAGCTGTTTTTACTCCCTTGCAGATTTGCTACGGATGTTTTTTGATTGCCTGTATGACGAGGAGGTCATCTCAGAGGATGCCTTCTACAAATGGGAGAGCAGCAAGGACCCTGCAGAGCAAAATGGGAAGGGCGTAGCCCTCAAATCTGTCACGGCATTTTTCACATGGCTGCGGGAAGCAGAAGAGGAGTCTGAGGATAACTAAAACTTCAAATACACAAAACGAAAAAAAAAAACAATTTAAGTATTTTTTTAAAAAGTTTCACGTCTTCGCCAATCACAGTGCAGCAAGGCCAATTCTCGCAGGAACCCCACGTATGCACGAGTGGGAGAGGGGAAAGAGAAAGGTGATCATGGAGGAAAAAGGTACTGGAAACACGTAACTTCAAACCCGAGGGCGGGAGCGAAAACCAAAATACATGTACTATTTATAGAAAATATTTTCTGTTTTAATCTTTTCTTTTTAATTGAAAGACTCATACTTAAAAAAAAACATTTAGCAAAAAAAAAAAACAAAAAACAAAAAAAAAAGAAAAAAAAGTTGAGAACTTTTAATTTATTTTAAGGACTGCAAATGCCCGTGTAATTTTTTATTTGCAGTTTCTGTAAACAACTTGTATAATAGAGAAGCAGAGAAATAAATTGCCCTCCCCTTCAGATGCACCTCACGTTTGTTTTAAGGCATAGTAGTTAATCCAGATTTAAGAAGGTTTCGGGTGAACAAGGTAAGAAAGATCTTTTTTGTTGTTTTTTTGTTTGTTTTTTTGTTCTGGCATCAAATCTTTCTTGCCTGCCTTTCAGCTTGCTTCAGAAAATTAAATCACAATAGTAAAACATACATAACTTTGGAACAGAAGGAAATGCTGTGGACCAGAAAACTCCAAGAATTGTTTAAAAAAAAAAAAAGTGCTACCCCAGAAAAAGTACTCTTAATACTTTTGAACTCTTTAGAACAACTTTAAGGCTTGTAAATAATAGAACAAATATTTAAAAAAAAAAAAAGGAAGAAAGAAATTGACTCAGTACTATTTCTTTTCACTTTCAAAATATAAAGAACAAAATAAAGGCAAACATTGCAAGTTTAAAAGGAAGTAGAGCGACTTCTCCTTTGGCAGCTTCTGCACGAACCCCGTCTCTGAAGACGCTGGCTGGTCACTGTCCCCCTCTCACCTGGAAGGGGAGAGGGGGCCATGCGTGTTCGCGAGTGGGAGCATGTGGGCTACCTTGTGGGTACTTTGTGCTTAGGTAGGAATGACCCTCTGGGAGTCTGAAAAACAAATAGGAATGTATTTATTCAAGGTGCAAGCAAATCTTAACAGCCATTTTTTTAAATAACTTAAGTATTTGGTTGTGTATATCAGAGTTTAGGACACCAGTTCACCTTAAGACTACCACAGCTTTTGAAATATTCCGTCAGTTGACTGCTATACTTAAGAAATCCAAAGATGTCTTCCAAATAATTTTTTTAAGCTAAATTATGCTTGTTAGTTGAGATGGGGTTTAAAAGTCCTACCAGGACCTGGCTCTTCATATGTGCTCAAGTGCTGTGCATTCTACAGATGGGTCTCTATAGCCATTCTTTCTGGTCTTCTGCCCACAAAATGGGTTTATGAACAAAAGCAAAACTTGCTTCCTTCCAAATTAAATTCTTTTGTGTTTTGCATCTGGATAACCAAAGGTTTTTCCTGGCATTTCTCTTTAAAGAAATATCCACAGACTTGGGCACCAAGGCTCAGGTCTGTAATCTCAGCTCCTCCTGAGGCAGGGCCAAGGAAGATCTAGAGTAAAGGGCCAGCTTGAGCAAAAAGTAATAGGAAACCTTGTCTCAGAAATAAAACAAAAGCAGGGCTAGGAACATAGCTCAGCGGTAGAGTGCATGCCTTGCAAGCATGAGGCCCTGGGTTCGATTCCTCAGCACCACATAAACAGAAAAAGCCGGAAGTGGCGCTGTGGCTCCAGTGGTAGAGCGCTACCCTTGAGCTGAAGAGCTGAGGGACAGCGCCCAGACCCAGAGTTCAGGCCCCAGGACCGGCCAAAAAACAAAAAAAGAAATAAAACAAAAGCAGAAGGACTGGGGTGGAAGCTCAAAGGGAAGAGCTCTTGTTTAACGCGTGTGAGACCTTGGGCTCAGTCTCTAATACCTTCCCAAACAGAAAAGAGGCTCATGCCTGTAATGAGACTTGGAAGATAGTTCAAAGCTAGCTTGGGCAGAAAAGTCCAAGAGACTGTTTGCAACGCAGCTCAAATGGTAGGATGCTAACCATGAGTAACCAAGCCAAGCAAGACTGTGGCCCAGAATTCAAGTCACCATACATACACACAAGCATGCATGCACATGCATACACATTACCTATGAGCGAGTTTAGATCATTGAGCCCTACTGTAGGGCATGATTGTTGTTACCTCTTCACAGTCTGAAAAGCAGGAGCTGCTGGGCTTTGTTTTAAAATAACACCCTCAACTTAGGATCTTATTTTATGCTTTCATTCAAGTGTTCTTTTTTAAAGTAAGGAGGGATCCAGGTTTTCAGTATTCAGTTTTCACCACTCCATTGCATTGGTCCTGCATTACCTGTTTTTGTCACTACAGTTTGAACTTAGGGCATAAGTCATTAGGTGGTGGTCTGCTGTTTGAGACGAAACTCCCAGCCCTTTTTGCTTTAATTATTTTTCAGGTAGTGTTCTCTTTCTGTCCAGGTCTGGCCTCAAAATGTGATTCTCCTATCTACTGCTTCCTGCCTAGCTGGGACAAATTTCATGCATCAATACACTCAGGTTATTGTTTGAGATGGGAGTCCTAAAATTTTGCCCTGGCTGGCCTCTAATCTCACTCACTCCTCCTGATATTTACCTCCTAAGTAGCTGGGAGTGCAGCTCTTGAGCGAGCATTCTGGGCCAAATTTCCATTTCTTATTGAAACAGTTCTGCGCCACAAAATTAACCCATTTTAGTGTGTTGACAGTTGCATGACCATCGCACTTGTCCAGTTATACAGATCCTTTTCATCCCCCAAATGAGACCACATCGTCCTTTTCCTATTCTCCTCAGCCCTGAGGAACTATGTCATCTGCTTTTGTTTCTAAGATTTGCTTGTTTTGGACATTTCATGTAAATGCAGTCATACATTGATTTGTTTTGTCCTCTAGTCTCTTAGCAATTTTTGAAATTGTTATAAAGGTAATGTACAGAGGGTTTACTGGTATATAAGTCAGGGACAGAGTACATGTCTTTTTGGACAATTTCACTCCTTTGTACTCTCCCAATTTTTCCCTTCCATTCCCACCTACAAAATTGTATAGTTCATTTTCAACATAGAGTTTAATAAGTACCACTGCTGTATTTATTACCCTTTGTCCCTCATTTTATTTTTTGTAATACTGGGATTAGAATCAGGACCTTGCACATGCTAGCTAAGGGTTGCACCACTGAGCTGTGCCTGCAGCCATTGGTTTTTAAGAAGGGACTTGCTTTGTAGCCCAGACACATACTGAACTCTCAATCCTGTTGCCACAGCCTTCCTTGATGC